GGGAAAAAGTCAGGACTAGTTGTCCCCCCCAGCGTTGACGGGACAGAGCTGTAGAGCTGTTGAGGAGGCATCAGGCCCCTGCCTTTTTAGACCTGCCTTTCTGTTGACAAGCTGGGCCCCTGCGGGGCTGTGCCAGGGAATCAGACATCGGAGGGGTGAGGGAGGGTGCAGCCGTCTGTTGCCATGGTCACCATTCACAGAGCACTAATTCAACACAACAGCTCTGGAAATAGCTCCTGCTATCAGCCTTGTTTTGTATTAAAGGTAGAATCAGCAGCCCAGGGTCATACTGCTCTTAAGGGCAAAACCAGGATTCAAAGTTTGTGCACCTGGGATTTCTAATGTGATCACGATTCTTCCCAAGCATTGCCAGGGTCTGCCGGGAAGGACCATTGTGCATCCACCCAGGCAGGCTGGTGAGCTAGCTCGAAACAAAACACGGGGTTTTCTAGAGGGAAAGCAGGCTACTGGCATTCCTGGAGGTCTCACACACATATCAGCTAAGGAAACCAGTTGCTTTAATGTGTTTGGATTTTTTCAGAGGTCTCTGGCAAGCTTCCATGCCTCGCAATTTTTCCATTGTTTGAAAACAATGAATCGCTTCACTGTGGCTTTGCAGGGGATGCCTTGCCACACACAGAGGCCCACTGGGGAAAGGAAGCTATTCCTGGGATGGCCAGGTACATGTCCTATGTGGGTAACTGTAACAGCAGATTCTCAGGGGATTGGTACAAGAAGGATCCTAGCTCATAGTTTTCAATTAAAGACCTGGAAAAGGAAGCATATAGTATGTAGTCAGAGTTCCAAATCCACAAAGAATTTTGGGGGAAGAGGAAGCCAAATTAATGGAATGCCTATGTTCTTTGCTTTGATTTCCAAATCATTGCTAGGGATGAGCGTTTGCACCCTGTTTGCCACAGTGGCAGCAAGTGGTCGCATCCATTCAGCACTTACCCACTGTGTGCCCATTTTGTGGCAGGTGGTGTGCAGGACACAGACACACATGTGAAATTCTATTCTGCTTTTAGAAAGTGGGATTGTGTAATTCTAATATGGGCGTGCTTTACTTTCTGACATATTGTAGAAATCACTATGCAAAGAGGGCCACTCCATTCATTTTAAGGTCAACCTGGAGACACTACTCCATAGAAATGACTCTGGAATAATCAGTTCCCTTTCATTGGTCATTTCTGTTCGTTCTGGAATTATGAATAATACAACAGTGTGGCCTCAAACATCTTTGTATTCAGATATTTGCATTGAGGACAAGTGTTTCTTAGAATGGATACCTGGAAGGAAAATTACCTTGATGTGTGCATTAGATTTTTGATAGATGCTGATGAATTGCCTGCAAGATTTTTTTTTTTAAAATCTAGCTCAATATTAATTACCTCCAAAGCACCTGGAAATGCCCATTTCCTGAAACCCCTACCAACCCTAGATATTGTATTAGTTCCTGTTGATGCTGTAACAAACTACCACAACCTTGGTGGTCTGAAACAATACAGACTTATGATGTCACATTTCTGTAGGTCAGCAGTCCAACCTGGTCTCACTGGGATAAGCCCATAGGGTGGGCAGAGCTGCATTTCTTTTGGGGAGCTGTAGAGGAGAGTCTGTTCTGGACCATGCCCCTTTCTGTCTGGAAACCCAGCAGTGACCAGTGGAGCATCTGTGACGTTTCACATGACATCAATCTGACACTGACTGATCCTTCTTCTCTCCCCTTTCCCATGTCTAAAGCCCTTTATAATATCAGGCACAACCTAGGATACAGTCCAGTCCCTGTGTTCAGATTGTAATTCAGATTTAGCAACCTCCATCCCATCTTTCCCCAGAACATCCACAGATTCCATAATTCCTGTGGCTCAGGAGGATGAGACAAAGAGCATTGCGAGTTCAAACCCTGCCTCAGCAATTTAGCAAGGCCCTAAATAATTCAGTGAGACCCTGTCTCTAAATGAAATATAAAAAGGGGGACCAGAGATGTGGCTCAGTGATTAAGTGCCCTTGGGTTTCAAAAAGAAAAGAAAAAAAATTCCAATCCACAGATTTCTGTTGCTATAAATTTTCTGTTTGTACCCTTTATCTCCTCTTCAACCATGTTCCTTTCCCCCCCCCACCTTGCCAGATGAATTATGAATCCGTTGGACACAATACCTTTATTTTATTTATTTTTATGTGGTGCAGGGACTTGAACCCAGTACCTCGCACATGCCAGGCAAGCGCTCTACCACTGAGCCCCAGCCCCAGCCCCGAATTATGAATTCTTTAAGAGCAAGGACTTTCTCATTTTCCCCTATGTGTCTCCAGAGCCTCAAAATGTAGCCAGATTCATAAAAAGGTTTCAAAGCCTGTTGGTCCTTCCTTCCTCCCAAATGTCATCCTTCCTACTCCATTCTCTTGCTGTTCTGCCTTGGAGAAAATGTCAGGAAGCTTCCTGCTGAGCTGCCTACGTTGGGTCTGTGAGGGAGGGTGTGGTGGGCGGAGACAACGAATGTCATGTGATCTACACTCAGCCCTCTGGATCCCTGGGTTCAACCAACCTCAGATGGAAAACATTTTCAAAAATTGTGTTTGCACTGAACAAGTACAGACTTTTTTCCTGTCGTGTGTGATTCCTTGAACAAGACAGTAAACCATTTATTTACAGAGCATTCACATTGTATGAGGTGCTGGAAGTAATCTAGAGATGATTGAAAGTGCTCAGGGGTCATGTGTAGGTTATATGCAAATTCTATGCTGTTTTACATAAAGGACTTGCGCATCTGTGGATTTTGGTACCTGTGTTCTGAAACTGATGATTGTATTTACAGCCACATGGACTTCTCTTGCCACCACGGGGTCTTGGGTCCAGCCAGCTCCTACCTAGCTCAGCCGCTTAACTTGGGCCGCCCCCGTCAAAGCCTGCTTCTCAGCAATAAAAACAGTGATGGCGTCATTCCTGACATTTGAGGCTTGCTGAGAGAGTGGCAGGAACAAAGCCTCACCTGCTCCGTTTAGGCGGGGAGAGTCCTGGTTGCTGAGCTGCCAGTACCTTGCAACATTGATCATCGGTCCCAGAATGGCAGGAAGGGGACTGGTGGCAGCTACTGGGCTGAGATAAGTGGGACCTGAGGGAGATGTGCAGAAGAGTAATTTTAGGTCATTTTTAGACTATTAGGCAATGTGTTCTCTTTTGACTTTCTTCAAAATCACAGTAAAGAATTGCTTGTTAGTCAATATGGGGGTCAGTCTGAAGCTCCTGGTGAGCAGAGTCTGGTGCAAGATGGTGACCTGGACCTGCCAGTAACACAGGTGCCTTTGCTCTGGCTGCCTGCTGTCCTCCAGAGGCGCTGTGTCCAGTGAGGCTGTTCTAGTCAGCTATTTTGCTGCTGCGACTAAAGGATCTGACCAGAACAACTGTAGAGGAGCAACAGTTTATTTGAGGGCTCATGGTTTCCGAAGTCTTAGTCCGTAGAAGGCCGGCTCCATCCTCAGGGCTCCAGGTGAGGCTGAACATCATGGCAGGAGAGGGTGGCGGAGGAGTGCAGCTCACCTCATGGTGACCAGGAGGCAGAGAGAGAGACACCACTCTCCAGATACAGATATATACCCAAAGCCACACCCCAATTCCCACCTCCTCCACCCACACCCTACCTCTCAGTTACCACTCAGTTAATCTGTATCAGGGGATTAAATCACTGTTGGGGTTGAAACTCTTACCACCCAATCATTTCAGTCTGTGTTTTTTTAGTCTCTGCAGTGTTGGCCAGGGGACGCCCAGGCCTGGACCAAGGACAACAACTCCTTCCCAATGACAGGGCTTCATTTCTTTGGCTACTTGGCCACAACCTCTCTGCTGATTCCCAGTCTACACGTATACTTAGGTCCCTGGTACCTCGAGAACCTGACCATACCCATTGGTCAAGTACTACCTCGGCTCACAGTGCAGAGGTGGGGACCAACTGCAGGCACTTAGATCCAGGCCTGCCTGTTAGGCTTCTCCAGGATGCACTCCCTACCTGCTTACAGGTGGAGGATACACCGAAACAGAGGGGAGGCAGGTCCTCCTCTCTGCCAAGGCCTTTCCAGAAGGCATGCTGGGGCCCCAGAACTCTAGGGTCGCAGGGAACCTCGCTGCCCTCTGGATGCTCTATCTGGAGCCCTGAGCCCCTCTTCTCAAGAGCTGCTGGTGGGCAGTGTCCCTGTACCCTGCACTAGCTGGGCGCTCTGGGGGAAACCCTTGGCCTCTCTGAGCCTCCCTTTCCCAGTTGGCAACATGGGGAGGCAATGCCTATCTGCCACCTGCTAGGACAGTCACCTAGTGGAGCCCAGCCTGCACTGGGGGTTGATGGTTGTTCTTGTCATCACATTCCCCCCTTTCCTGCCCTCCTTTCCATGCTTTGAAGTTGAGACCAGAGCCTGACTCGGAGGCCGACAGGCGTCCTTCCTCCTCCTCCCCTTCATCTCTCCACCTCGAGGAGTTGCCAGTCATGGGGAGAAAGCTCCTGCCCTGGGAGGCGGGACCCCAGCCCCCCTCCTCTCACATCCAGGCTGGCAGCTGCCTCTGCCTCTTGCCAGGACCCTGGGCCCAGGACACCACAAGTGCTCCCCAGGCAGGGCTGCAGCCTCCAGGGCAGGAGGCCAGCCGCCCAGCCTCTGCTCCACTTCACAGACATAGGGCCTGCTGGGCCTGGCCTCCAGCCCTTCCTGTGCGGCCCCCTGGGCCTGGAACTCATTAGCACTTTTTATTAGACCCATCTGCTGCCGGTGGAAGGCCAGTCTGTCTCAGCTCTGCCCGGGGCGTGTGGGCGGAGACTGCACACAGGCAGCGTGTGAATCGGGTGTGGCATCCTTGGTTACAGGGGAGATGGGGAGGAGCAGCCAGCAGGCTCTGGGGTGACTGGGGCCTGGAGGCCTTTCCTGAGCATCCCGGGTCGTGTTTCATCCCAGCCTTCCTGGGCTCTGTGGGTCGCAGCCCTGCATCTCACTGATGAGGCCCCCTCTGCCCTCCCCAGGAGTGCATCATTGACGAGGACTGCGGGCCCTCCAGGTACTGCCAGTTTGCTAGCTTCCAGTACACCTGCCAGCCATGCCGGGAGCAGCAGATGGTAAGGATGCCCAGGTCTCCTGGGCTGCAGCACAAGGTCAGGGAAGCTGTGGGAGGCGGCCAGGGGTCCCAGGGACTCTCAGATGGGCTCCTTTGGGATCCCTCTCCACCATGGAAAGGCTCCCTCGATGGTGGAGAGGGATCCCAAAGGAGCTGACTCTGGAATGACCAGGAAGTGACCAGTCTGGGATTGCAGGAAGCCATCTGCAGACCTGCTGCCGTCCCTGGCCCACCCAGGATCTCTGGTCACAATGTCCCATGAATGGCAGAGAAGGGGAGGGGGGAGGCTCTATCCCGTCTCCTGGGATGACTCATCCTACTAGACACAAGCAACACCCTCAGGCAGGGGAAGGCAGCTGCTCTCTGTCCTCTGGGTTTGCAGCCCACCCCCAGATCAGAAGAGATAGAGGAGGAGCCAGGAGGCCAAAGCTCTCCCCTAATGGAGGTTCCACTGAGAAACGCTGGGTGGGCAAAGGACACCCTCCCCTCCACCCCACAAACATTTTGGACAAAGCTGTGGCTCAGACTCCCTTGTCACTTGTCCAATACACAGCATGATGATTTGGAAAATAAAGCCTTTCTCATTACCCTGCTCAGCCCTTCTGTGGTGAAGCAGCTGCTGTGATACCTCCCAGCCCACCCCACGACACTGGGCACGCCACACCGACCCCACACTGCTCCCGCTGCCATTCTCTAGGTGGCTCCAAGCCCCTGGCGCCCCTGGGCCATCCCCATCTGGGCTTACAGGCTTGGGCCTCACGCTTGGTCAGCTTATTGGAATCTTGCAGCTGCCTGCATCTGGAGGCCTGGAGCCGCCGTCCTTCCTGACCTAGGGTCCTAATTGAAAAGTGGAAGGCCCAAGTCTTGGGTGGGGCTCAAAGATACTCAACTGTCCCTTCCAGACTCTCAGGCTGTGAAGGACTCACACATGACTCGTTGGGTGCTGTTTTTCCAATGTTTTGATCCCTCGTGTCTTGACAGCCAGGCTCCCAGCCCGGCCTCCTTGACTTACACTAAAGCCCACCCACCTAGGACCGCACTCTGTCTCTTCCTCCTTTAGCGAGAGTATCTGTGGCATCTTTGGGCCGGGCTGGGCCAGGCTCCTAAGGTCTATGAGCTATCACACTTGTTTTTTCCCCACCTCTCTGCAGCTCTGCACCCGGGACAGTGAGTGCTGTGGAGACCAACTTTGCGTCTGGGGTCACTGCAACAAAAAGGCCACCAGAGGTGGCAATGGAACCATCTGTGACAACCAGAGGGACTGCCAGCCTGGGCTGTGCTGCGCCTTCCAAAGAGGTGGGTGGGCTCCCCTCTGGGTGCAGAGGAAGCTGGTCCCAAGTTCCGTCCGTCCGGGGTCTGCTGGAGACATGGCCATGTCCCCTACATCTTCTCTGGGTCCCGCCTCCTGGGCAGGAGTATGTCCTAGCCCCACAATCTGAGCCTGAGTGGGAAGACCCTTTTTTTCCACGCTGTTGATGCCTAGAAAATTAAATTCTTTCATGGTGCATGAGCCCAGGGCAGGAGGGTGTCCCCACAGAGGCTGGACTCCAGCAGCCCCTCCCCGTCCCACTCCCTCTCCGGGCCCTAGAGCGAGCACTGGCCCTGTCCCTCTCCCAGGTTCCATCCACAGTGTCTCTTCCAGGTGAGGCCTGCTGAGGCTCCCTCTGCTCTCACTAGAGTGGCCGAGAGCTCTCCTGAGCCACCTCCCCAGCTCTGCCTCCCCCAGCCCCACAGGGCCTCCAAGGACCTGCTGCTTCGGTGGTTTTCTGGAAGAGCTGCCTGACGGGGTTACTCCCTGGGATCCACAGTAGCTCTGTCACCTCCCACAGCAGATGGACTCACAAGGCCTCATGGTCCCCTCCACTCCTTCCCCTCTCTGCCTCTACCACCTTTTCCCTTTGACCTGACCCCAGGTCTTTGTAGGTGCTATACCCAGACTTAATTTCTTCAGATTTTGTTCCCTAAAACCCAGCTCACTTCTTCCAGGCAGACACCCCCCCACACCCTGCCCCGCCAGCGCCCCGCTGTCCTCCCCCGTCACTCCTCCTGAGCCCATATTGCCATCTTGTTCCCTCTCATTCCACTTCTTCAATCCCAAGTTCACTGTGAGGGTTGGGCCCATCTCTCTGTCCCTCCCTATGGTTACTCTTGGCTGGTTCCAGGCCTGCTGTTCCCCGTGTGCACACCCCTGCCAGTGGAGGGTGAGCTCTGCCATGACCCGGCCAGCCGGCTCCTGGACCTCATCACCTGGGAGCTGGAGCCTGAAGGAGCTTTGGACCGATGTCCATGTGCCAGTGGCCTCCTCTGCCAGCCCCACAGGTGAGTGCCCCCTTTAAGGGCTGAGATAAGTGAAGTGGGGACTCAAGGGCAGGAGGTTTTGCCTGGGGAGATGTGGACTCAGCAGGGCAGGTCTAATTGGAGGTGTCCTTGGGTCACAGATTTGGGGCTCATCTCAAGGACTGAAGCTTCACAGGCGGATGACCCACAAGAGGGCATGGAGGAGAAAAGTGGAGGGCTGAGGAGGGAGCCCCGGAGATTTAGATGCAAACCCGAGTTGCGGGTGGACGTGCAATAGAAATAGCTAATTTATTTCCCTGGGCGATGGACAGGAAGAGAGAGTGCTGGTAGAGGGGCAGGAAGGAAATGAGGTGTGGGCGCCCAGGTGGAGGGCACCAGCAGTGTCAGGCTGCAGAGAGACTGACGTACCAGGGCTCAGACATGGCATCTCTGCACGCCTTCTTGTCCTCTGAGCAGCCTCAACTCCAGCCCCTCTTCCACAGAATCCAGGGTGGCAGGACAGACAACCCAGGGGTATCAGACATGGAGTCACACCATGTTGCACGCAGGCTGCCTCCTGTCTGGAGGCCCAGGTGGGCTGGGAACTCCCAAACCCTGTCTTCCTTGGGGCCTGTCCCTGGGCTGCTGAACCCAAGAGTCAGCCACAGGAAAACAAGCCTACAGCTGGAGTGGGGTTGCTGCCCCTCAGTGCCGCCTCCCAGTTGACCTTCCTTCAGCTATCTTGTTTCAGGTAAGATGTTGATATGAAGCGGAGGCTGTTGAAGAAGAGGTGATGTGGAGGTGAGGCTGGAAGGTCCACAGAAATGGCGGCCTAGGGCTTCCCTTCTAGGCACCCCCATGCTTAGAGCCCAGCTTTGCCTGCGTGGGGAGAATCTTGGCTAAGTCCCAGCCCCGTCTTTCCCCAGCCACAGCCTGGTGTATGTGTGTAAGCCAGCCTTCGTTGGTAGCCACAGCCAAGACGGGGACAGCCTGCTGCCCAGGGAGGCTCCTGATGAGTATGAAGATGGTGGCTTCATGGAGGAGGTACGCCAGGAACTGGAGGACCTGGAGAGGAGCCTGACCCAGGAGATGGTGCTCGGGGAGCCTGCTGCTGCTGAGCTGCTGGGGGAAGAGGAGATTTAGATGCAAACCCGTGTCTCGGGTAGACGTGCAATAGAAATAGCTAATTTATTTCCCCAGGTGTGTCCCCTAGGTGTGGGCTGGCCAGGCTTTCCCCCGTGTCTTCTCCCCAGTAAACTTTCCCTCTGGCTTAACAGAATGAGGTGCTGTGTGTCCGTCCAGCTGCCCGCGGCTGCCCTCCAACGCGTCACCGTTCTGGTGCTTGAGAAAGACGGGGCCTGGCAGGGTGAGGGCAGAACCCAGCCCCTGGGCCCCTACGGGTGGGCAGGCATTATTTGAGAACTGTTGGAAGGGAAAAGGTGAAAAATGAGGCAGAGCCTGCCCTTGATGGGTTTTGGGGAGGCGTGGAGAAGGGCACCCTGCTTTTGCAAACATCCACGTGGCAAAAACGCAAAGATCTTTCCACGGGCAGAGGCAGCTGTTGCAGGGATGCTCAGCTCGCCCCGCTTCACGTGCTCATCCACTCGGCTGCTTCCCTCGGCTCCTACCTGGGCGTCAGGACGGTATTCTCATTCCCCCGACTGACTCCCTCTCATCACAGCCTGTGGAGGAGGAGCATTGTTCTCATCTCTGAAGGATCTTGGAGACTCAGAGACCACAAGTTACTTGCCCAAGTCACACAGCTAGTGAAGACCAGAGTGGGGTTTCACCCAGGGGTGACTCCAAGCCCAGTGTTTTTCCAGTTACCCTACCCCCCACCAAACTCAGTGCCATCAACAGTACTTCCAAAAGGAAGGAGAATGAGATCTTTTTCTTTTGAGGCACATCTGATAACTCTTTAAGATTGATTCTGTTAGAAATAGCAATGTGGGGTAGCCATCATTCTGGTGGAGACCAGTGGCGTGGACATTCCCCCTGTGGCCATTTGCATTAGTCATTTTGAAGGTATAGTATTTAAGTTAACTTGCAGAAAACACTGAGATAATGGTAGGGCAGAGATGATTAATGAAATTTGAAAAATCACTTAGCAGCAGCTGAAGGTCATTATTGACCACATGGAGCAAATAAAACGAAGCCAGGTTCTATGAAATATGGTTGTAATATTCAAACTGAGAACACTGAACTGGATGTCATTCCACAAATGATATTTTCAGGTGCCAGGAATTGTTTCCATCATGTATTTGTTCAGAGTTATTAAATTTTAAAGTTGCACATGACTGTATAAGCATGCTTTCTTTGAGTTTTAAATTATGTATAAACACATGTTGCATTTAGAAATCCAGTATAAATCACTTCGACTACACTTCTGTGGTTTTTGGACTTCATTTTTTTCTTCTGATTTTGAATAAATAAATATAAAACCATTTCAGCCATAAACAATAAAATAGAAATGACCTGTACAAAACAGATTTCTTCCATAGAAGCAAATTTTCCAGACATCTGAAGCACACCTCCTTTAGGATCCAGATATTTTAGAAATCTTAACCATTTCTGGATCAGAATTAGGATTAAAAGTGTAACTGCTTCACTGTCTCCTGAAAGAACAAATGGAATAAGAGTGTGTGTGTGTGTGTGTGTGTGTGTGTGTGTGTGTGTGTGTGTGTGTGTGTGTGTGCCTGGGGACTGAACTCAGGGGTACTTTACCACTAAGCTACAGTCCCAGACCTTTTACCAAAAAAAAAAAAAAAAAAAAAAAATTTTTTTTTTTTTTTTTTGAGACAGGGTCTCACTAAATTACTGAGGCTGGCCTCAAACTTGAGATTCTCCTCCTGCCTCCGTCTCCCAAGTCACTGGGATTAGAAGCATATGCCTCTGAGCCTGGTGATGTCTTCTTAGAAGCTTCCTGTAATCAAATGCAGACTGCTGAGGTTTTTGTCACTATAACAAAATGCCTGAGATAATTAACTTTATTTTGGCTCACAGATTTGAAAGTTCCAGTCCCTCCCTGATCCTTTGACTTTGGATCTGTAGAGAGAAAGCACCTCATGGTAGGAGCATGTGGTGAAGCCAAACTGCTCATCTCATGGCTGGAGAGAGGAACAGACTAGAGTCCCATAATCCCCTTCAAAAGCATAACCCCACCAGCGCCGCCCCCCCCCGCCCCCGCAACAGTGACCTAAGTCCTCACTAGGCTCCACCTCCTAAAGATGAAAGGTGCCACTTCCTCCCAACAGTACCATGCTGGGACCAAGCCTTTTTAGCACATGGACCTTTGAAGGACACCCCTCCATAGCAGACTGCAGCAATTAGATCTTCAAGGACTGCAATGAAGCCACTGTAGTACGGTTAGGTCACCAGGGTGATGGGCACCAGATTAGGCACTCCACCTGTATCAACTCTTTTCCTCTTCAGTGAATCCCACGTGTATTTTCTTTATTTGATGGATGAAAAAATGGAGTTACTCAAAGATTCAAAAGTCTGATAAAAGCAGCATCTAATGTAGTATGTCCACAATACACGGATTATTCAAACACAGAGCCATTCCCTATTCAGTGTCAAAAATCAATGGGATCACTCTCCATGTTGCAAACTGATCAGCAGGTCTGTGCTACGCCCACCCAGAGACAGCCTCCGTGACTGGGTGTGCCAGGTTGACGCAGACAGCTCCCACTCTCAACGTCTCACAGTCGAAGGACGAGAGACACAGCCAAACTAGGCAGCCAGACAAAAAAGGGCCAACCTGATACTGGAGTGTGCAGGAGCCCTAGTGGAGCACTTGGCCTAGAGAGTTGGCATGGGAACTGGCTCCCAAAGATGGTCAGGGTGTATCAGGATGCCAGAGGGGACAGGAAAGGCATTCCAGCCACAGGCAGAAGGAAGGAGGCAAGAAGGGACCGTCCCAGGGAGGGGAAACTGAATGTCATTTGCCGTGGCTGTAAGGTGAGGTGGGCTTGCCGTGCTTGCAGAAGAGGCTGAAAATGATTTCTACCAATAATGTGTTGAGCACCTACCGCATGTCGGGCGCTATATTAGGTGCCAAAGAGGGCAGCTGTAAATGAGATAAAACTAGGTCCTTTTCTCCTGGCACTCTTAGGTTGTTTTAATCCTGCTCCACTTGGTTATCATAGCCACTGAAATAGAGAGACTTTGCATCATCGGGTGTAGATATGGCGTCTACTCACAGCTCTAAATGCCATGTGTGGAGTGTGGTTCTCAAATCTCACTGCCTGTTCTTCTGTATCCAGTTGCTGCCAAGGAAGCCATGGTAGTCACTGGCCATTTGGCTACTCGACAGCTAGTCCCAGCTAGGGATGGTCTCAGGACTCAATTCTGGGTGAGGCAATTGAAAGGCAAAGCTGTCAAAGAAATTCTAGGAAAATTTTTTCCCTCGGACTAAAGGAGAGTGACAAATAAGAAGCAGCCCTCCTTCCCAGCCCTACCCTTATTCCCTGCTTTCCAGGACAGGTCCTCAGGATGTAGCATTTGGCTCTGCTGCAGCTGTCTGGAGATCTGTGATCCGGTGGGCTGCATTCCTCCCTGAAGGCCCTTGGGAACCATCCATTTCCTTGCTTCTGTTAGTCCTTACAAGTGGCTCACCTTCCTTGGCTCATGGTCCTTCAGAGCCAGCACTATCAGGGCCCTCTATCTTGAGTGCTGTCACTCTGGTTGCAGTGAAAGGTTCTCACTTTTAAGGATTTACCTGGATAATGCAGAATAATCTTCCCATGGCAAGGCCCTTAACCTTAATCACCTCTGCAGTCTCTCTTGGAATGCAAGTATTCAGAGGATCCAAAGATCAAGCCATAGGCATCTGGGTCTGCCTAGTATAGAGGTGGAGAGTCTGGGTCCTTGATGTTGAGGAACAAACCAATTCTGGTCTCAACCTTATCTCTATTATTACAGATAAACCTGCTGTTAGACTGTTGTTGAAGGCCAGAGCATTCCTGATATAGGAGCTATTTGCAGGATACAAGACAGCCAAGGACAGGACAAAGCCCCAATAGCTGGGTTTGTGGGGATTCCCACATAATTGAGAATGGGTTTTAGGGCAAGAGGATGGGATTGAAGAGACAAAGAAGTGAAGGGCCTGCTATCTGTGAGGGGAGAGGGCAGGATGAGAAAGGGCAAGGATTTCTGCACAGCCTCTCCAGATTGCCAAGAAATGTGGCTTATTTATTCCTTCAAAAACTTTTTTTTTTTGAGACAGGCTCTTGCTGAATTGTTGAGGCCAGACTTGAACTTGTGATCCTCCTGCCTCAGCCCCGAGCTGCTGGGATTACAGGCGTGTGTCATTGTACCCTCATGATCAGTTTTTGATACCCAGGTGGGATTTCTACGTCAACAGCTGGGGAGGGAGGCACCGTCACTTGGGGCTTGCTGAGAACTGCCACCATAGTGGCAGCAGTACTGTGGTGGTCCTGTGTGAAGAAGCCTAGAGCAGGTGTGAAGTATGCTTTTGGGAGATGCAGTGTGGCAAACAGATGATTCCCCTCCCTGACTTCCCCTGGGGGGAGGAGAAACTAGACCTGTTCCCTTGGCTGAAACCTGAGGGCAAATTTAGGGAATACTCTCAAAACTTGTATGGAAGCTACTGACTGTTGAAAGATGGGAAGCTGTGCAGGACTTGAGGACTGGCACCCGTCTCACACAGGGAGCAAGGAGCAGCAATCAGAATAGCATCCTGGTAGCAGGGAAGGACCACCATTGGACCCTCCAGTGAATCCTGACAGCCCAATTCCAGAGACAGGGGAAATGTACTGTCAGAATGATGGATGATATTTGGGGTGGAAGACCTGACAGGGCCCATGCAGCATGGGTTAATGGTACACGGCCATTAGAGAGAAGGTCTACTGCCCAAAGGTTGGCAAAAACAGTCATTTGATAAGGGACCAAATGTCGCTTAGAGTTAAGTTCTTTGCTGACAGGACCCATGGGACATCTGTCTTCCAGTCTACAAGGGTTAAGTGGCCAGTCAAAAAGGGACAAGCAACCTCACCAACCAGACAGAAGACTATTTAGAAAGCAGACCTCTCTTCGCCTCTTCTGTGCAGAAAGATCAAGGGGAAAGGAGAGGCTGACCACACAAACCCCCCTCCCTGCTCCCAGCAGGAAGCCACACAGCTAGTGAGCACCTTGTGGGGGTGTGGGGTGCCTTGAATCAAACCACTGACACTTTTCCAATCAGATTGTCCTAATGCAGTGACCTACGTTACTGGATTGCACTGAGACTTTGATGTGAGCCCACCTCTCTGTGGGAAACTGCATTCCACAGAAGTTGGTACAGTTGTCAGGAAAACAACCCTGCTTATTCATACCTCTGTAAGCTGATGCTCTGAGCAGGCTACTGAATTGTTAAATAGAGGCCCTTGTGTGGGGGAGGGGATGTCCAGAGCACAGAAAGCAGAAGGTGGAATGTGGCCCCTCACTTGAAGGCTGGGTCATAGGGTCTACCAATCTGGGCCTGGTGAATTCTCAAGTTACAACCAGTCAAGATTCACTTTCCTTATAGGGGCTGGCAGCTGAGGGTGGAAGGAGGCGATGTTGTCCTGGGGAAGGGCAGCATACTCCTTCCAAGGGTTTTTGCCTTCCTAGATTGGCCCCTACTGGAATCTGCATGTTTCTAAATGGTGATGCGTGCTCTAATGCTTTCTTGTTTGTCTGGTGTTGTTTCTGAAAGCCAAGTTATGAAAATTAATACAGGGTGGGTCTAAACATAGATTCTGACTTTCATTCTAGACCTAAGTGGAGGGGAACTTCCTCTGGCCATGAACTCCTTTGAATACCTGATAAAAACCATCTGCTAACCTTCTAGAATACCACATACATAATTTTGCATCTGACTTTAGAATTTATGGCTTTCTTATAAGGCTTTAATTTGTGACCCAAATAGTGCTTTGTTTTTCAAAAATTACACAGAATTGTTTGGATGGAATAGTTTTATTTAGCCAGCAAAAAACCTGCTAATTCTTGGTATCTCCTATTCCACATACTGTACTCTAGACTACAATTTTCAAGTCACAAGTATGAAGAATTGGTTGGGGCCTTGATGTTGAACAAAGGGATCAAATCCAGAGGAAGAGCTATGGTATCCAACTGAAAAGGAAATATAGCAAATGAACCAGAACAAAAGATTTTATTGAATTCCATACATTCACAGGTCACTTCCAAATCTAGTAATAACACTGCAATGTTGAGGTGCCGTGCACTCATTTGGCTTGGACCAGTGGGTGACTGCGGCTCCTCGGCCTCCTAACAGTGGGCTGGCAGCCAATGGCTACATAGTTTATTTTCTGGCTGGGGCACAGGTTCTCCCAGACTTGATCAACAAACACTCTAAGGAAGAGCTCCTTCACATACAACTTT